TCACCAAAGTTACCTCGGCTCGGGAACTTGGGTACGATTGGGGAAGGTCACTTCGTGAGCACCCCCGCTCGCCCGATCAAAGATCGGCCTCTACTAACCATGATATCTAGTTTTGAAAACATTATGCGTTCTTATTCCAGTTATTAGCCTAGATTTACTATGTGATGCGCACAGCATACAAGTATAGACTGGATCACCTGAATTGGAACAAAACGTTTCATGTTTGTTTTTGAAAGCGGTTTGCTACTCACAAGTAGGCTAAAAATGCAGATTTTGCCACCCTCGGGTGGGCTTAGAAAACATGATTTTGCCACTATCTAGTGGGCTTAAAACTCACAGTCAATACATTATTCCAATTCAAATAATCCAACCTTCACCCACAGGCATTCAGGCAGTTATATCATATAAGCATATAGCCTCATGGTAAATATGCTATCATGGCAACATTCACACGCGTGCAAGATGCTAAAGCGTAAAAGTTTACCGAGTACTCCAAGCCAAAACAGAAGCTATGTTAGAAATTCAAGCATGATCCTAATTATACAGAAATGCCTAATGCAACACATGCAAAAATACAACTACAATAAGCTCGGCTATTCTAAAATGGCATGTGAAATGCTACAGCTAACAAGTATTCAACTCGGAATTGAAATACAATGCAGTTAGTATGATGCACCGAGCCCGGTGCATGCAAGACAGATGAATGAATACAAACATGCAAGCATGAGTATGCTAATTGAAATATGCCCTAATCTACCATCATAAGCTGGTAAATAAAAGAGAGAAAGGCGTGAGGTTAGAAGACATATATCACACGCACGCACACTTATTACAGTTGTGCCCTCACTCGGAGGGTCCGAATAAATAATATACAGTCCGAATAAATACAAAAGCTTAATTGATTAACAAATTAATCTAGGAAAGCAGGTAAATTAGCACGTAAATCCATGGACCGCCTCAACTCTGTTCCAAATGATGAATGATGCATGCTTGAGTTGCCTTGCGCAAAAATCCATTGCGATGCCTCGATTCGCCTTTGTTTGCAATTAATCCCGGAATGCTATGCCAGGCTCTGGAAGGCTATTAATTTTTGATTTGCTGCAATAGAGAGCAAGAAAGGGGCACAGCAAAGTATTTTCACATATGTATGCATGACTACTCTTCAAGGGGTGTAGACCTCGATCCTCATGCCACCAATCACGCATATCGATGCATGATAGCTGAGGAGTCGAATTGCACGACTCAATATGAAATGAATGCACATGAAAACATAACAAGACCTAAACTCCATCATGGGTAATCCGGAGTGTCGGCGACAGGGAATTGAGACACGTTCCGTCACTCAGAGTACGAAACGTACCTCGTTTCCCGTGCTTGGGCTAACTCCTATCCCAAACACAAAGCAAATGAGATGGCATACACAATGTGACTAACATACAACCTAGCATACGCAATGCTCGATGTGACATGGCATACACGATGCTCTAACATGCAATCTAGCATACGCAATGCTATGGACTGAAATGACATACACAATGCACAATGGACTTACACCAACATGAATGGACCTCAGCCATACTCACATCAGTAGCCATGAGATGAAAAAGAGACAACCGAAATGCGTGCACACGTGCACGCATACCGAGGACCGAACCTAAGGCATAAAATGCCACTCTACCAAAGCATGGCAAGGGATGAAAGATGGCATACAAACATGTAATTTTCAGCACTGAAACATGATGCTAAATGGTCCCGAAACATGGAAATATGGCACCCGATGCATGAAATAAGCCCTGAAACTCAAAGCTAGGCACATGTATTGAATTATAACTATGTAAAGAAAGCATTATTTGGCCATGAAGTACAAAGATAGAGCCAAGGCAGTCCCAAAATATGCACATTTCTAGTTTAAAGTATGGCCAAAAAGTGCTAACATGATGGACTAAAATAGCATGCAAATTTGGCTAGCAAGCATGGTTTACATGGCATGTATATGAAGTATATGAGAACTCATCAAACCAGCCAAAAACAGTGAATAAAACATTACAAAATATGTCCAAATAACCACTGAAATGCAGCCAACATGTGCGAAAATGATGAGCTCCTTTGAAAGGGCACGCAAGGGGTTACTCAACACATATATGATGGACACTTAGCATAGAAAAACCAACTCTGGAAATCAAATATGATAGCCCTAAAACTCACCAAAAAGGGCCTAAGATTGATCAATAAAGCATACAATGAAAGGTCCTCTTGAAAGGCCTTGAGGAGGGTTGTTCCACACATGCATGAGGGACATAAGATATGGCCAAAAGGGCCTTGGATAGAGCTAAGGCAGACCTCAAAACCCTCAGAATGAGGCCTGGAACATGACTTCAAAGCATGCAAAAAGGGATCCCTTTGGAAGGCCAACAAGACCACCAAACAAGACAAGGAGAGAGGGGGTCCCTCCCCTCTAATTTTGGCTCTCAAAAATGCATCTAAGCCACTGAAAATTCACTAGATTTTAGTGGCTAAGAGGCCAAACCATGGCCAATGCAAGTGCTCTAATGCATAGCCCTAATCATGAAGAGATGAAGCATGCATAGGGGGTAGATGACCCCAAACAGAGAAGTGACCTTAAGTAAACATGTTTATAAGCTCAAAAGGAAACTTTTTCTAGTTTATGACAAATCTGGAAAGTGCTCACAAGTAGGACTAAGATATGATGCAAAATAGGTCTACAAAGAGGGATAAAGCATACAAAGATGTAGGAGGCCTCAAACAGAAAAGTGTCCTTAATAAATATTCAAGAGAAGCTCAAAATATGACACTTTTTAGTTTATGAAAAAGTCCAAAAATACTTACAAGTAAGGCTAATCAATGGAGCAAAAAAATGCAAGTTTAAAGGAAATAGGTGCTTACCCTTGAAGAGCAGCAAAGCTGGAGCTTTTGGACCAAGTTGGTGAACCTTCAACCCTTGCAAATCAGTCCCAAAGTGCTGGAATGGATGGAAGAGGTGTGGTGCTAAGGGTTGTAGTGCAAATGGTCCAAGAAAACTAGGGTTTGGAAGCTCAAGTGTAGAGATATAGAGAGAGAGAGAGTGTTGTAAGCCTTCAAAGGGGTTCAACCCTTGCCAAAGAAAATCAGCCTCCCCTTTATAGAAGAAAGGCTCTAAAATATCCCAAAAAGGCTTCACATATCCTCCATACACGTGTATGAAGGATGGTCCAATTGCCTCACAGCTGGCACAGCTGTGATGCATTCAGAGAGGGCAAAAAGCAAGAAGCATGCCAGCCAGTTCAAGTGGCCGACCGGCCACTCCCCCTGGTCGGCCGACCAGGGGTCAAAAGGTTCAAGAAGAATTTCTGGCCAGCCACCCCAAAAAAGTGGCCTCCCAGATGAGTGCAGCACAGCTGTATAATGAAAAACTAAAAAATGTGACCCAAGAAAGAGAAAAATTAGCTTTTTAACAAGGTTCAAAAGGGTCAAGATAAATTACTGGTCGGTCTACCCATATTGGTAGCCTCCCAGATGAACACAACACAATGGTGGTGTGGAAAGCCAGAAATTGTGGCTCAAAAGTGAGAAAAACCAGCTTTCTGTCAAAAAAATCAACTTTTGGAGAGAGAAAAAGAGAAAACTGGTTTTAAGGAGAAAATGTGGCCTCCCACTATTCTACCTCCTCCCTAGCAATAAAAATAGGGTCCCTACCAAAAATGGACCAAGACGGATGCAAAACGAGGGTTCGGGGGCCAAAACGCGCAGTCCGAGGCCCCGAAAACAAGCTGTTAGGCACCGGAAGTGGCGTATGACCACGAAGGTGGTCTCCCGGGCCACAGTGTCCCTCTAAAGGGAGGAAATAAGGGGTGTGCCAAAAACCGGAGCAAACGGAAGTAGTTAAGCGGTCCCGAACCGAGGCACACAGCCTGACGGCTCCGAAAACCGGAAACTGGGCTCCAAACGGGAAAAATGGCCTACGACCACGAAGCGTAACCTACGGCCACTGAGAGATGGTCTACGAGACCTCTCCCTCCCTTCGGGAAGAGAAAACAGAGAAAGCAGGACTTGGTTCGCAAACCGAGACAAAGTACAAAAGAGCCCTGAAGTCTGGAGGCAAGGCTCGCAGCCGAGACTCCGCAACCTCAGAACGAGCACAACATGCAACATCACCGAACGCTCAATTGGTGACGTCTGAATCTTAAGATAGGTCGAAAATGGGGTGTCTACAACAAAATGTCCGACAAAATGAACGGTTTAGATCATTGAAATGGGACCCATGGTGAGCCTTACAAGCTCAAACACCATCATTCAATTCAAAATCTGGTCTGGAGAAGATCCTCCTCCTTAACTTATACCCTTATGAAAGCTTACAAAGATACACATTAACAAAATCATATTCAATTTTTATTTATTTATTAATTTTTTAAAATTAAATACAGGAATAAAATTTTTAATGAAATGATCACAAATATATACATTAAATTAATTGAGACCTTAAAGTCATGATTTCATCAAAGTTCCTGATAGCTTGCACATTAATTATGACATAAATCAATCGATGTTTACACATAACAAATTATGTATTGTACTTCCTAAGTAGTCAATTTCATCTGTAAAAATTCATGTGTTGTACTACTTGCTATTATTGCAAACTTACTATTACTGAAATAATACACCAAGTCACTTTTTATAGACAGGGAGAGAGTAAAAAATAAATTTAAAGAAAGGTACATTACAGAGCCGGCTAAATAGAAAAAAACAGTAACCAAACTCCAAAACAAAACCAAGTCCGCATCAATACAAAACACACTGGAGCCATAATATATGCTCATGCCAATGTCTTCTAATTGTCTCCAGCTCTCATACCACACAAACCTTCTCTCTCTCCAAACAAGCCCTTCTCTCTCTCTCCCTCTCTCTCTCTCTCTCTCTCTCTCTCCAAACCCTAATTTCTCATCCATTGAGAGATTCTTTGCTCCTTTGTTATTCTTTGACCTAGAACTTCTCTTCTTTTTGATATGGATTCTACTAAACATGGAAGCTCTGAAATATCGAGCGAAGAAAATGATCAGCAGGAGATAGAGAAAGTCAACGATGATAGCACAGGCACCGGTCGCTCCTACGAATGCACTTATTGCAAGCGCGGATTCACCAACGCTCAAGCCTTGGGAGGACATATGAACATACATAGGAAAGACAAAGCAAAGGCGAAGAAGCTCACTGAGTCGTCGTCTGTGTCCAACAACTCCAATGAAGATCACTACATGGCTTGTAATAAGTACTTTGCACCAGTTTCAAGCGAACATCAAGCACAGTACTATGCGGGTTTGGGAGCTCAGGTCAATCATCATCAAATGTACCTGCCGGTGCCAAACCCTAGTTTCCCATATGGGTATTACCCGGGTCTAATGAACACTGATTCGGAGTTTTCAAGTCAACAAGGAGCGAATTTGAGCTTGGGAATTGGGCCCCCACTTGTGGAAGAGAATGAAGAGAAGAAGAAAGACGGGAAAGGAAATGGGAAGGGAAATGAAGTCGATTTGGAGCTTCGGTTAGGTCACAACCCATAATCACTGTTACATTGATATATGCACTTTTATATATATATATATATTAATTAATACTACTGAAGAATATTATAGTGTACAGTGAGTGAATTCTTTCGTACTATTTCTCTAAATTCATGAATATTGGTGTGTTGATGAGTATACTTGTAAATTGGGGATAGTCTCTTCTTTCAAAGCAAAAAGGGTAAGAAAGAAGTAATCTTGATAAGTTGGGATCAAAGTAATCTAGCCTTATTTCATTTTCCTTCAGTTAAAAAAAGTGTTTATATTGGAATTTTAGCTATATTAATTATGTGGTGTTTCATATGGATCAGTCAAGGTTCCACTTGTTGCACTATGCCTAGATTATATATCTAATTTATTACTTTGTTATTTGTTTTTCTTTAATCCTTATTATCCTTAAAATTGCATTTGATTGTTATTTTGTTTTTTTCTCTCATGATGAAAACTAAGCTTTATTACTTAGAGAGTATCTTAACATTTCATTTAAACCATGTTTCATTATTTTTTGATTTGTCATTTAGGAATTGTATTACAAAGTATATTTTTCATGATGATAAGGTAATAAAACCGTCTGTCCTTTTGGAAAATTTTCTGTTCTTAAGCTGGAAGATTAGATTAAACTCCTTTCTATCACCTTGCATTTTTGCAAATTTAGAAGGCACAAAAACCAAGAAATATATCATGGGGAATACATTCTAGTTGAGGTTATCTCCAACAATTGCCAATGAAAAATTGATTCAGAAACCGAACTTTCATATAAAAAATTTAATTAAAACAAGTTAACTGTAAAATTCTTGAAATTATAAATAAATTCTATTATCTTTATAAATTAGTACCCTTTCGAATGCAAGGACATTTAACTTTGTAGCATCATGCAAGTACAACCCATCATGGTAATTCCCCTTTGATCAAGAAAAACCTCAATTCTGATTAGCCTCTTTATTTGCATCTAATTAAGTACAATCATGAAAAAATTAAATAAATTCTCTCTTCTGCACGCCTCCTCACCCATCTTCATAATTTCTGTTTTGCTTATATACTTAAAATTTTATTGAGAAATATTATTGTGTGGTATAGATTCATTCTATACATGTCCCCAATAATACACTAATTAAATTTCAATCACACTTTGTTATAGTGGATAAAATTCTTGACAAATTTTTTGGATAAGTTACTTTACTTTCTATTAGTATAACCTTTGATCTTCAATTTTCGTGTTAATTAGCAGCCATGTACAATATCATCATACACTAGTTTTAATCCTACTATGCAAAGCTGGAACAATTAAATTTGTGAAAGAAATTGGATCACTGAAATTGCAGTGTGAAGCATTAGAATGCCCCTTTGTCTGGTAGTGGTACTTGGTTCCTTTGAATATGGGATAATAGGATAGATGTTAGTGTACATGCACTTACATCGCAATGATGGTGTTTCACACCATCCGCACACGCGCGTGTGGCGTGGCCTGTGTGACGTTTGATGGCGTACGGGCGCAAGGCGCCATGAGGGCACTTTCCTATTTGCATCAAACAGGTTGGAGCGATGACATGGATCCAACATGGCATGGGTGATGTAGAATATAGTCAGCTCCGTGTGATAGTGATGTGGAGTCCGTTGGCGATGAATCAACTAACCGATCGAACGATTGCGTGTCCGATCTGGAGCGGTTTGATCATAGTCGCTGATTGGAGATGCGAGCAATCGTACAGATGAAATGGCACCCGATCGTGATTATGTATGATCAGTTAAGGCATCTATTCGATGTGAGAATGATCTACACTATAGATCGTCGATCTAACGGTCCGATCTGATCGGATGTGACCAAGGGACATGACCATTTGATCAGATGCATCAAGACCTATAAATAGGCTATGAAATCAGCCATTTCAATCCATCCAAAATTTAGAAAGTATTCCTGCAATTCTCTCTCTCTCTCTCTCTCTCTCTCGATTTAGAGTTTTTGATCAAGAGTTTCTTAAACAAGTTTCTACTTTTCTTACTGGTAATCAAATTCTGCAGACTTCATTGTCAGTGTATTGGTTTTTTTTTATTATATCAAGAGTATTCTGATCTACTGTCGTCAGTGCAGACGCCAGTAGACTTGATCTTTAGATCAAGCTTCATTGTATCTTAGAGGCGAATTTGTTGTAACTCCATGCACACCTTTTGGTGGATATAAATATTATCTTTAGGAAGCGACTAAGTAACGCGATTTGAAGCACCGAATTTCTGTTCTACATAGACAAGATCATCGCCAAATTTTGAAGAGCCGAAGACCACCAAGTGAAGAATACAAGACGAATTGTACCAACACTATAGTATTGCTCATTATGAATTTGGATTCCTATCATTATTGATTCCTTAATATTTTGTGTGGTTGGCAGAATATTAACATGGGTTTATTACATTTTTCATACTTAAAATGTTTGCTTTGTGTCATTTTTGGTTATGAACATTTCAGTTGTGTTAATTTAACCTGAAAGTACTAAATGTCTGCTAACGTGGTCTGCATTAGATGTTGTTGGTATTCATTGTTAGAATTGGAGATATTTTTAGGGAAAAAAAAAATAATCACACCTACCAAATAAAATAGTTAATTACATTTTTGTCCTTAATATATACACGTTGTAGAATTTTGATTCTCAACATTTTAATTGTGCTAATTGGTAAAAGGTGGATGTGTTCATTATTAAATTTGAATTTATATCGTTGTTAGTGATTTATTTAATTTTTTTGTAATGTGTGTAAGTGGGGGTATTTGTGAAGAAAAAAGCAGAAAGAAGCATCGTAGACTAGAGCCAAAATGCAGCTTCTGATCTACTACTGGAACATGATATAAGTTTTAAAACTGTCACAACATAAAACAGTTGCTACCTAGTTCACTTTTAAGCACTCTGACCCTAATTAATGCTGCCTTAAGTTTCTTGAGGTTTGGCTACATGTCCAATTTTCATGCTACCATTAAGCTCACAAGTTGTTTGTTAATTATTTTATTTTATTCTAAGTAATGCCATTAATCATAATTTTTTTATCACTAAACCTAAATGTAATGGTGTCCTATGCTGATAAAAAAAAAATGTAATGGTGTCCTATTAATAAATACATATCGTCAAACTTATACTTTTGTATCTACTGATAACAAAAGAGATCAAAATCTTTTCATATTTAGCATTTTGATTTTAATATATATATATATATATATGTGTGTATGCATTAAATAGCTTGCATTATATATATATATATATATTTTTTTTTTTTTTGATATCTTGCCAAGACCTTCTACCTCCTGCTCCAAGATTTGTTCCAACACATCAAGGCGTTCCCCAAATCATCCACGACAAGCTTTACCTTAGCTAGCTAAGTCTCCATGGTTGCCACAACATCACGTACATCACGTGACTTATCCTTCCTTGCTCTAGTATTGTCCCTTCCACGAGTTTGCTCAGTCACCATTGTTTCTTCAGCACCGAAAAACATATTGCCTATTCTTCTCTTGTCTCAAACCTGCTCTGATACCACAAAGTTTCAAACTTTTTTTCTTTGGATAAGGCATACAGTGATTGTAATACTTTTTTAAGTCATTGACTGTACTACATTCTTTTTCTTTTTTTTCCTTTTTTTTGTTTGAGGAAGTGCACAAGTTGAATTATGTTGAAAATTTATAAAATTTTAAACCGCCAAACCGATTCGCATCCATCCGCCAAACCGCCAATCCGCTCAGTCAACATCCGCCGGATTGGCGGACGGATGCGGATTGATTTTCTTCAATCCGCCAATCTGGCGGACGGATGGCGGATTAGAGGTTTCGTGGCCGCAACCGACCCGCGCCCACCCCTACTGGAAAGGCTGTCAAACGGAAAAAAAAAATTAGGTGTATAATTTGTTAAATTGGAGGGTAATGTTGGGTCAGTGGGGGGCTCACCATGGATCCCGTTTTGGTAATCCGAACCGTTCAATGTATCGAAATCGTCGAGTACTATATGCTTGTAAAAAATCATGTTAATTGGATATAGATATTTACATGATTAAATCAGTTTTGTATAAACAACAGATGGTATTATAGTTAACGATTGACAAAAAAACTAACTCGATCAGATAGTTATCGATATCCGATCAATGTGATTTTTTACAAATATATATTACTCAACGAGTTCTACATCTTGAATGGTTCCGATTAACAAAACGGGACCTGTGGTGGGCCCATACGGGCCGAACAACATCGTCCAATTCAAGCCCGAAAAGGAGGCAACCATTTTCCAACTCCTAACAGCCGACCACATTGCCTTAGGTACCGTACGGCTACTCAATCACTTTTCCTATACACTTATTTATATAATTTTTTAATACACATTTTTTCGTAAAAAGTCAACAAGTTAACCCAAACATCTATCTTTTTTTCTTCTCAACTTTTTGGTCCAAAAAGACAAAAAAATGCACTTATTTAAGACACCCCAAACAATCCCTTAGAAAGAAATTTAGAAAAGAAAAGAAAAAAAAAATACGTGAAATTAGTTAAAATATAGGTATATTTTATTCACATTTTATCTTCTTTTTTTTTTCTTCTAAATCTCTTTTAAAATCTTCCAACCTAATACAGGCTAAGAGGGTTTAAATTGTTTGTAAGTTTTCTTGTAAAATATATGGTGCATTAGAGTTTTTCATTAAGAAAAATACAAAAATAATATTAAAAAAAAAACTTACCCATAATGATATATAAACAAAATTTGTGTGCATAAATCATATAATGATATGTCTTTTTATGCTTTTTTCATCTCAAACTAAAACACCTATCCTTGTAATTTATAATTTCAAAAATGATACTACCACACTATTCTGATTGAGTTTTGTGTAATTTTCTTTTTCTTTTTTATGTAAATCATTTCTCACCACTCATATATTGAAGGTTTCACAAAATTCAGTTATGGTCAGTCATTTTAGTGGGCTTAGAGCTGGTATGTATTTATTATTTTTTTTTTATATAATCTATGACATAATCCTTT